TGTCTAAATTTACTAATTTCCTCCTTTCAGACATACGACGCAATGATGAGGACGATGATGCGCCAGGGCCATACGGGCTACCAGCACCGTCTATGAACCCCACAGTGCTGCGTTCGGGTAGCCAGGAATTCTAACAAAGCGGTCAAAGAAACCTATTTTTTATTTTTTGCACCATAATATTTTTAAGCCCGCTTTTTACATTAATATACATATTACTAAACAAGCAGTCTTCAGAAAAGTAATATTTCACTGCGTTTCGAAAAAAATGGGGGGTTTCGCAGGAAAGGAGCTAACCCCTGTCCGGATGAAAAAGGAAATTCGATTTTTCGAGCTTCAAGCGCGAAAACGCGAGCTCGCTTGGAGCTCGCTTTTTTCGAGCTTGTTTCGAGCTCGAACAGGCGGCCAAAACGAGCTGGATTTTTCGAATTAGCGAGCTCGAAATGAGCTCGTTTTGCTATTAGAGCGGTAGAGGAAGCAGGAGTACCAGCATCTTCTATGGCGGAGACGAAATGCAACACTAACTGCCATCAAGCTAGACCAAAATCCACACGAGGAGCCAAACAGCAAGCGAAGAAAAATCGATCAGCTCACGGCCGACCCTTACTACTTCAAATTGCTAATCGATAATGTCCGTTTAGACTTTGAAAAGAGCAGCCGGCCCAGTTGTCCGCCAGTAAATAAACTCATTCCGGCAAGCAAAACATGATACCTGGAGATTGCAAAATCTAGCGAAAAAATAGAAACTTCCAAACCGGACTCCAACTTCGCAGATCATCCCGTACATAAACACATTTTTTTTTCTGCGCAAATTCACATGTTACGATTGAAGAGTAAGTTTGGCAAACATTTGTTTTTGGTCTTCATTCATCTTCAGGCCGATACATGCTGACATGCAGAAAAATGTTGTCAGTTATGTACCGTGGTTGTGTGATTTTCGAAGCTGGGGTGGGAGAGGGGGAGAGAGCGGGTGGTTAGTCAGCGTGTTGGGGTTCGGAATGCGGGGGTGGGAGCGGAAGGGGACACTCTCACGGTAGGCTCTGGTTTTGATCTATGCGTCAAGCGCCCACGCGGATTGTGGGTGTAGGTGTTCCCCGGGGCTTGTGGCGGAGTGCGATTACCACCTGTAGTCAGCCTAGAGAGGCAAACCACCTGGGTATCAATGTCTTTTGACAACAGAGCGTTGGCTTCTCCAACTCATTCGCTACTTTTTCTGATCTCGACACAGGAAGAAGCCCCAAAATTGCTGGTGGTAGTGCACAAACTGACGACTCACCTACGCACCCGGTGTTCTGGACCCTAAGGAAAACGAGAAAGAAGTTGCTCACATAGTTCCCTGTGACGCCTGCAGGAAAGTATATGCTGGTCAGAACGTGAAATCCACCTCTACAGACACCAATGAACATCGGTTGGCAGCCAGGGTGTGAGGCCGTACCGCCTGTCGCTAATCGTCATGCATACCGGGTACACCTTTTCTGCCGAGACAGAACCATCATCAATGGCGACTGTACATTTAATGAAGACAGGGAAGTTCTCGAAGATATGCACTCGGACGAATCATGCACCAACCCTAATAGCAAAATTCGCTCCTTCGAGACTCGCTTTTTCGTTGACTTTCGCTGACTTGCGTCCAGGAATTTGATTGGTTGACAGACTACTCGATGACACGTCGCCTAACTCCCAAAGTCCTTATCGCCCACTTATTGGAAAATCGATCGTACTGTGCGATAAGCGGCCGGAGCGCCGGTGGGCACGTCATTTTGCGCACTGGCACGCAGGCAAGTGGTCGCATATCTGTGTCTACGTTGCTTTTGGCCTGAACTGTGTTCATTTTTTGCTGTTGCCCCTTTTTCAGCATGTTCAAGCCTCTTTCGAGGAGTACCCGATATAAACACAGAAAGCAAGCGTTTCTCCAACATCTTGGCGAAATTATAGCGCATTATGAAGAAATTTTCGCGTCTGACACATCTTTATCGTCCTGGGGCCTAAGCGCGTCTGCATCTGAATCGGACTCGCAGCTGTGGACTGATAATGAAGAAATGGGTCAGAGTCCTGGTTCTGTGGATTTCGAAAATGGACCAGCTGGCTAACCTTCCTCTTTACCTCCACATGAAGAGGAGGAAAATTTGTTAGAAGCCCTTCGATTGTGGGCAATAGACTCCAGCACTTCTCCTATTCACCTGAATAGGCTTTTGAAGAACTGGAGGCGTGTCTGTCCGGACCTACCTGCAGATGCGCGGACGTTGCTGGCGGGGGGGGG